TTCTCGGGTGAAATGACCTCCGGACAGCTCAAATCTAGCGAAAATAACTTCAAATCATAAACAAAACTCATAAGAAACTATTCCGGATCATAAAGCCTCAATCTTTAATAAAATCCAAAAATCACCCCAAAAGTCGACCCACGGGCCCGCACCTCACAACTCGACAATTTCACAAATTCCGAACACCCATTCTGATATGAGCTCAACCATACCAAAACCGAGCTCTACAAGTCAAGATATGATAAAAATGGTCTAACCCTCGATTTGGGAAATATATCCTACTGCCCAGGTCTTTATGCATCGCAAATGCAGAGAAAGGATCGCGTCCGCGAAGAATAAAAGTGAAAGCTGCCCAATTGGTCATCGCGAATGCGACAACAAGCTCGCGAATGCGGAGAAGGAAAAGCTTGATGGCTCACAACTGGCCTACGCTAATGCGTGGAAAGGTACACAAACGCGAAAGAGGTAAAAGCAAACATACGCGTTCGCGGGCAGAAGAATGCGAACACGTAGAAGGAATGGCCACCATTACCCAGGGCCTGGTTTGCACTATGCGAACTCGAGGAGGTTGCTGCGAACGCGAAGAAGGAAAAAGGCTGACCTTCGCGATTGCGGATGGAGGCTCACGAACGCGAAGAATAATTAATTCCTCGTCCAAAATAACACTTCGTGAGCGCGAAGGGAAGCACGCAAACGCGATTATGGAAGCCAGATGACAAAAAATAGTTGTTCAAAAATTGGGGAAAATGACCCGTTGCCCATCGAAAAAACACCTGAGGCCCCCGGGATCCCGTCTAAACATACCAATAAGTTCCATACATGACACGGACTCGCTCGAGGTCTTAAATAACATCAAACAACATCGAAACTACGAATCGCACCATGAATCGACTTATGAACTTTCAAATCTTCCAACTTATAAAACTCGCGCTGAAACCTATCAAATCAACCCGGAATGACTCCAATTTTTGCAGACAAGTCCCAAATTATGTAATGGGGCTGTTCCAACTCTCGAAATCACATTTTGACCCCGATAATACAAAAGTCAATTATTGGTCAAACTTCTCTATCTTCCTAACTTCAAATTTTCCAACTTTTATCGAATTGCTTCAATTTACCCTACGGACCTCCAAATCCAAATCCGGACACGTGCCTAAGTCTAAAATCACCATACAAAGCTGTTGAAATCATCCAAAACCCGTTCCGGAGCCGTTTACATAAAGGTCAAATTCCGGTCAACTCTTACCACTCAAGCTTCCAAAACTAGAATCCTTCTTCCGATTTACTCTGAATCATCCGGTAACTGAATTCGATCACGCACATGATTCATAACACATAATACAAAGCTGATCAAGATCTTATGCCGCTGAACATAACTTAAATTCTCAAAACGACCGGCTGCGTCATAATAAATTCATGTATGATTACCCATTGAATTTGCTTCATTCTCATTCCCTTAAGAGAATATGATAGCAGTATGTGATAAGTCTGAAAGAAGATAAAATTATCACTATGAAGGTATCAGTGGATGTGGATGTAGCAATAGACCAAATTATAATCGTCATCATTGTGGTGATGAGAACAATAAGTATTCTCAAAATAATCCTTCACTCTGTGAAAGTAATATTTGTCATCGATTTGACATGGAATTTTATAAAGCACATAGAGATTATTATGGTCCATTCATGATGTGAATGTGACAACATGTGATTTATGAATACATATTCATTCTTGGAAGAATGAACGTGCTAGTGGTAGTGAATATACCACACTCACCTCTAGAAAGAGATTTGAGATGAAATAAGAAAATAACTTTATTATTATGAAATAAATATTTATTGATCACGTACCTATTGTGATTATGCCAAAATATTATGGCAATGTGATTATTACAGGGCAAACATAATAGAAGCAACATATCTTGCCTATAATGATTTTGACCATGACCATAATGGTATAACTTTCCCCTTGAAAGATATATTCACCATATGGATGTTAATGAATATGTGGTAGTATAAAATTAATTGTAAGCTCTAGAAGAGCCAATTATACTATTTTGGAGAAATAAAATTGTTTATCAATAAGATATTGTGTTGTAGTAAGTCTCAAAGAAACTTATTTAGTTTCTAAAATATTCGCGAAAGCGCTTGGTTATATTGAGACTATATGTAACGACCCGACCATTCTTTTGGAGCATATGCATTCCATTCAGCTATTTAAAGTCTTAAGCAGCATCGTATGATGTATTATGACTTCTGTGAATCGTCGGTTTTGGTTTTCAGATTATTCAAAATTACTTTGGAAGAATGAATTCATTGTTGAAGCTTTAAATTGGAAGAGTTTGACTAAGTTTGACTTTTGTGAATTTGACCCCCAGAATGGAGTTTTGATGGTTTCGTTAGGTCCGAATGGTGATTTTGGACTTGGACGTATGCCTGGATTTGCATATGGATATTTAAGCTCAAAAAGGGTAGTTTGGATAGCAGAACGAGGGCTGGAATTGTACCACCACTCAGCTAAGGATAAGAAGGAACACCAATCAGCAGGAGAGTCAGTGCAGAAACATCTCAAGTAGGTCTCCAAACACCTATTGAGTACCTCACTCTGGCCATCAGTTTGAGGATGATAGGCTGTTGAAGTTTGGATGGCAACACCCTGAATTGTTAGAAACTCCTTCCAAAAAGAACTGATGAATATAGGATCTCTGTCACTAGTGATAGAGGCTGGGAACCCATGAAGTTTAAAGATTGAGTCCATAAACACAGAAGCAAGGGATTGTGCAGTATAAGGGTGGGCAAGAGCAATAAAGTGACCATACTTAGTGAATCTGTCAATGACTACCCTCCTATTGAAATAAATACTGAAGTGGTAAGAAGTTACTTGAAAAACCTTTTAGACTATATAATGTACTGATATACCAAAAGAAATTTCAAGAGAGTGTGCAAGAAATATGGAACCAAAAAATTGAAGGACATACTATGCATTCCATATGGACCAAACTACAAAGAATACAGGACAGAGCAAGGCTGATGAATAAAGAGATGAACTCACTAGAAAAGAAGGTGGAGAAAATCAGAATGGAATTGCAGAATATCCAAAAACAGATTGATAATGATCTACAGAATCAGCAGCTAATTGAACAGGAAAAGGAAATGATAATGCAAGCAGAGAAATGGGAAGGAATACATGAACAAGTGTTAAGACAAAAATCTAGAGCAGTGTGGATAAAAGCAGGTGACAGAAACTCCAAATTTTTTTATGCCCAGCTAAAGAATAGACAGGCTAGAAACAGAATTGCTTTCATTTGTAATGAGCAGGGAGAAAGAGTAACAGAGCCAAAGCAGATTGAAGATGAGTTCAAAAGCTTTTTTCAGAACTTACTAGGCTGTGCAACAACTGAACTACCATGCATTGATCTGGACATAGCTAGGAATGGTCACTGTCTCACAAAGGAGCAACAGAAGATGCTGAATTGTAAAATAACAAGAGAAGATGTTGATAAAGCAGTGAAGGAGTTACCAAATGACAAAGCACCAGGGATAGATGGTTTTACTGCAGAATTTTTTAAGGAATATTGGTCTACAATTGGGGATGAGGTCAGAGCAGCTGTACGAGAATTCTTTAGTAATGGGAAGCTATTGAAGAGTGTTAATTGTACAACATTAACACTGATCCAAAAGGTAGCCAGCCCAAATTCAGTCAAAGAGTTTAGACCTATTGCATGCTGCACAACTATATACAAGATCATATCAAGAATCATCACAGCAAAACTGAAATTGTTGGTAGACTCAATTATAGGAGAACCACAGTCAGCTTTTATCGAAGGAAGGAACATACTGGACAATGTGATCATATCACATGAGATGGTAAAAGGGTACAATAAGAAGGGAGTGTCACCAAGATGCTGTATCAAGATAGATATCAGAAAAGCCTATGACTCAGTTGAATGGCCTTTCCTTAGAATGATATTGATAGAGTATGGTATGCTAGTGAAGTTTGTGGAGCTGATTATGGTATGTGTAACTACTGTTAGTTACTCTTTGATCCTAAATGGAGGGTTAACAAACAGATTCCAAGGGAAGAAAGGGCTAAGGCAAGGAGACCCGATGTCTCCTTACCTTTTTGTGCTTGTGATGGAGTATCTGAACAGAGCTCTAAAGAAGTTAAAAGACAATCCAGACTTCAATCATCATCCAAGGTGTTCCAGGAATAATATTACTCACATTTGTTTTGCAAATGATTTAATTCTTTGTTCAAGAGCAGATGAGGTGTCTATCAAATTGATGTTGAAAGTTTCAACCACTTCTCAGAGGTATCAGGGTTGAAGGCCAATATAGAGAAAAGTGTTACAAAGGAATTCAAGGAGAGGATACTGAATGAGATGCAGTTTACATTGGGAGAATTACCATTTCGATATCTTGGTGTTCCACTTTCCTCAAAAAAGCTGTCAGTGCAGCAGTGTATGCCCTTGATCGAAAAGATAACAGCAAGGATAAACTGCTGGACAACAAAGTGGTTATCATATAGTGGAAGGCTCCAATTACTGAAGAGTGTGATATTTGAGATGCAAACATACTGGGCACAAGTGTTTCTGTTGCCAAAGAAGATACTCAAGATGATTGTTACTGTATGTAGAACCTTTCTGTGGACAGGGAAAAGTGATCTTTCAAGGAGAGCATTGGTAGCATGGGGACACAATATGTATGCCATTGTCAGCAGGGGGATTAAATATTCTGGACATCTATGCATGGAACAAAGCTGCATTGTGCAAATTGTTATGGGTTATCAGTGCAAAGAAAGATACACTATGGATTCAATGGGTCCATAGATATTATGTCAAAGAGAAAGATGTGATGGTAACGGATACTCCTAAACAAGCATGTTGGATAGTGAAAAAAATATTTGATACTAGGCAATGGTTTCTGGAAAAACATTCAAGAAATGAGCTGGGGCAATACCAAAGAAATGGTAAGTTTAGAATTAAAAAGCTATATATTGCAATGAGACCTCAGTTCCAGAAGGTTTGGTGGAAGAAGATTACAGCAGGATCGAAAGCAATACCAAAGCATAGATTCATACTTTGGTTAGCAGTTCACAGGAAACTAGCCACAGTGGACAGGCTAAGAAGATGGGGAAATATAGTTGACAATGAATGTGTATTATGTGATACAAATGAGGAAGAATCAATGGAGCACATATGGTTTGGATGCAGATATGCCAAAACAATATGGTACACCCTGGTTAATTGGCTGAATGAAAAACATCAGATTGGTACGTGGGATGATGAAATTAAATGGCTGACAAGCAGAAATCCAAGCAGAACCTGTGGAGAAATACTAGTGTTCTTATTCACAGCCATGGTGTATCATGTTTGGATAGAGAGAAACAACAGAAGATTCCAAGGAAAAGCAGTAGAAGCCAGGCAGAAAATAAAAGACATAGTGCTGGAATTGCACCTGGCTGGACAGAATGAAAGGAAATGGCAGAAAGAACTAACAAGGCTGAAGAATTATCCAAGTATAGTATAGAATGAGTATAGTAATTGAAGGATAGATGTGTAAACAGAAAGTGATAGCTGAGAGTGTTCAGAAATGTAATAGATAGAATCTAGTTCTAGAGTAAAAAAAGAACTAGCGGATGTAAATATTATTTCTTGGTTAAATAAAGTTTAAGCATTTAACCAAAAAAAATAAAAAAAATTGACCCTATTCCTCAGGCGGGACTCCTGAACTAAAGGAAAACTAAGAATTGTGAGCACATGATTTTTGCCCTATATGAATTACTCCTATAAAACCCAAGAAAATAATTTTTTTCCAATTATTTGCCGTTTTATAGGATTTTTGTAGGATTTTGTTAATTGTTTGCATTTTTGTGCACGTTTAATTTCAATTAAAAAATCATGAAAAATGCCAAAAATACCATGCATTGCATTTAGGTTTTATTTTTATAATTTTTAGGATTAATTAATTAATTACTTGTTTTATTAAAAAATGAAAATCACAAAAATTATTTCATTTTTGCATTTTTAGCTTTAATTCTAGAATAGTAGTTTTTCTTTTAAAGTTAGGATCAAGGAATTTTTATAATTTTTAGGAAATTGGATAGTTTTACGATCTAGATTAATTTAGGATTTAACTTAGGTTTTTAATTAAAGAAAAAAAAAGAAGAAAGAAAAGCAAAAGAATAAGAAATAAAGGTTTCATTGAAAAGGCTGATTTAATTCAAATGGGCCAGTTCAAGTTAAGCCCAAACTCCCTTTCACCCGTTCCAACCCCCAACCCAATAAATCCACCCGGTCTAGCCCCAGCCTTACCCGAAATGACCACGTTTTGTTGGCCTTCCATCACGACCGTTGGATCATTGTGATCCAACGACCCGGAACTGATCACCGTTTTGCATACAAGTGTCCGAACCCCGGTCAAACCCTAGAGACCCCTTCATCATCTCTTCGTCTCCAAGCCATCAAACCCTAGCCGCCCTCCCACCCCTCACCGGCTCCGCCGCCCTCCGCCGCCGGAAATCGCCCACGGCGGCGGTGACGCTCCAAAATCACCCAAATCCATACCCCACAACCCTGAGTCCTTTCCCAACACCATTTCACCATCAGTCTTCCCAAAAACACCACCCAAATCTACCAATTTCGGATCTGAGTTCAAGACCTAAAAATCCCCGGTCTCCAAATCCACCAATCACACCCTATAATCACCGGGCCTCCCCAAACTCAAAACCCTTAATAATTTCCCCAAACAATCTTTGGAACCTGTCGAATCCCGGATCTATGTTTGACCTAATTTCTGAGTTTGGGATTTCTTTCAAGTTTCTGTTCGTCTTGGCTAGAAAGTCGCCCAAATAGGTTATTCTTGACCAGAATGTTCGTTTGGGTCAGTTTC